TTCTATGGTATATTACATAAGAGAAAAATTTATATAAATTGTAATGTTTTTGAAGTTTAAAATGTAATTTATTTTCTATAATAAAATGCGGAAATCATTTGTAATTAAAATTAAACATTTTGTGTGTAATTTCTAATTGCTTATAGTTTTATTACTTATAAAAATTACTTTTAATTAATTAAAAATACATTTTTATAGTGTTTTTGGTTTTGTACCGGAAATACAGTACATTTCTCAGACAAAACACACACAAAAGTAACAGTAATTATAAAAATATGAATCAATATTAGTTATCAAATTAAAATCAATATATAAAATAACCATTTGCTTAAACGATGGCCACCGACCCCTTCCAACCATTCCTCCGGTACCGTTGAATTAAGATCCGGGATATCTCTCCACAATCATGGCGTGTCCCTATAGGGTGTCCACAAAGACATCACAGAACAGACAAAAACATCATTAAAAAGTACTGTAAGAAACATATACTGCTGGCGGACAGTCTAGTGCCTCACGACATGACCAGTCCTGGCATTCCTCATGAGTTACCATTGCTATAGCGATCGAAGTCTCGGCATTCAATCAATCAGTTTTACGTACAAAACGCGATCAAACAAAACTTGTTTTCGTTTTACACGTCCGCACAGATTGAATGTATTATTTCAATCGCATCGTTCAAAGTACACAATCAAACACTACAAATACTGCGTTCACAATAACGGGGTTTAACTATAACGGGTTTAACACTAGCTAAACATAGAAAACAACTAAAAACAGCAATATTTATAGTGTTTCGCAGTATATTTTCAACAACAAAAACATAAATGTAAATTCAAGAAAAAATAACATCACGTACAATGCCACCGGCGGCACAGGCAGCCAACAATCCGTATTTGCCGTCCTCTTTGATCAGCCGATTGGCTGTTGTGGTGAGCAGTCGTACACCAGTCGCGCCAAACGGGTGGCCGATTGACAGGGAGCCGCCCCACAAGTTAAACTTGCTCAAATCGGGCGCACCGTATTTGCCGCTTCGTTTCATATGCTCTTTAGCGAACCAATCGCTGTCCAGAGCCTTCAAGTTGGCCAATATCTGGCCGGCAAACGCCTCGTGAAACTCAAACACATCGATATCCTTCAGTGTTAGGCCAGCCTTTGGGGTGAAAACAAAACATATTAATGTAATTTCATTCACAATACTAGTGTCCATACCTTCTCGAGTATCCTCGGCGTGGCGTACGCCGGGCCGAGCAGTAGCTGATCCTTCGGGTCCTGCGATACGTACAAAAATTCCCGTAAATAGGCCTTCGGTTTGAGGCCCAACTGTTTGGCCTTCTCTTCGGTCATGAGAAGGCAAGCGGAGGCGCCGTCGGTCAAGAAGCTGGCATTGGCCGCAGTGACAGTGCCGTACGGTTTAACAAACGCCGGCTTGAGTTTAGCATACTGTTCGGGCGTACCCACGCGTATGCCGTTGTCCCGGTCGACGAGACCCTTCTTGGGCACAGTCACGGGCTCGATGTCGTTCAGTAGACCCGCTTTGAACGCCTTGTCGGCCAATGTGTGCGACCGCAGGGCGTAGTCGTCCTGTTCTTGTCGCGACACTTTGAACGCCGCGGCCAACCGGTCGCCCGAGTGGCCCATCACTTCGCCGGTCGTGAACTCAGCCACCGCTGGCAACTGTAGACAGATTGACAAAAACAATGTTTGATTATGTCATTATTATCGGGTATTACACGTACTTCGGGCATGAAATAGTCGGGTCGTAACTGTAACAACATGGACAGCCGTTGGCCCGTCGACTTGGCCTTATTCAACGCCAGTAACCATTTGCGCATTTTGCGCGAGTGTCTGATGGGCACGTCCGACATCGTCTCCACACCTCCGGCCACAGCCGTCTCGCAGAAGCCGCTGTTCATATAACCCATGGCTGTAGTGATGGCCTGATTGCTCGAAATGCACGCCTGGGTTACGGTGTGCGCCGGTGTCGACAGCGGGAGACCGCCCGACAGTACGGCCTCGCGGGCGACGTTTCCAGTCTTGGGCTCCTGTATGACTGTCCCGCACACCACGTATTCGATGGCCTCCTTCGGAAAACCCGTCCGCTTCAGTAGACCCCTGTATTTGGGACCACAACGTGATTATCAATCGGTGTTATTAAAACCGAGAGAGAGAGAGAGAGAGAGA